CGTGAATAATAATAGTCGGTCAGTTCTACATACCACGCGCTGCCCCTGGGTAGAGAGATAGATAAGTAATCTATATGTGTGCGAGTGTGTGTTGGTGTTGCTATTTTCATTTACTTCCTGGTTTAATTTTACAGGGGCGGAAAGTTAGGGGCATTTTTCTTTCGATATTATCCTTTGACTGAGTTCAGTTCCGACCAGACATAGGTTTTCATTAAGAATTAAGGAACAGCAGAACTGACCATCAGCGCTGAAAGGTTCATCGCGTGATGCTTTCAATTTTGGAGCACCATCTATTTATTGGGTTTTTTTTCCTATTCTTCTTCTTTCTTTTCTCTCAGATCCAAGCAACGTGCTCATCTGTCTTCTAAATGACCTCCACACCAGTCTACTAACATGGCATCATCTAATACTGCAAAACATCGGCAAGGCAACAGCCACAGTATTTCGACATGCACATGTTATATTCAAGACATTACGACGACAAGCAACTACCACATTATGTCGGATTCGCAGGCAATGGTGATGTACTAACTCACGAGACAAGGTTCACAAGTCGCTTCTTTACGATAACCCGAGTCTACAAAAACTTTTCCACATAGGGTACATACAGTCGAAACTGTTAAAGACAATCATTCATTGTCAAAGGGAAAAGCGTAGCTGTCTTAGACTGGTGGGCATCTTACTCGTTGTCATTATAATGATTTTTAAAAAACCCAATGGAGGAAAAGGAAAGTGGCCGTTTATACAGGTGATTATCTTACGCGGGTGGCCGTTACAGCAGGTCCGACTGTAAGAAGAAACTACAATGTGTTGGACTCATCCGCAATGCATTCACGAGAAGTGGTTTAAAGAGAGTTCACAAAACGATTCTTTACGATAATCTGAGTCCAGAAAGAGAAAAACGATATCCAGCACTGGGAATAATCGATAATAAACAGCCAAGACATGTGGGACTCACCGGCAAACACGTGTCCCTCCCAGTCAAGCGGCTCGTTCCCCGCGCTGACAGAACGCCGCATCTGCACCTGCTCGCCCATCACCTCCACCATGTTCGAACCCTCCACCCTCTGGTCCACATCTCCGCCGGCACCGCTTCCTCCATCACCCCCACCACTACAGCTGCCGCAATGACTTGTCGGTCGCGAACTGTTGGAGGACGAAGAGGAAGAGGAGGAGGAAGAGGAAACAATCCTATCCCTGGTAGTCGCAGAAGCTCCTTCGTCCTCCGTGAGTACCACCACGCCCTTCTCACTCGCCCTCCTACCTCGGCTGACGTCATCGTTGTTATCCTCTGAGCCAACTTGACCCTGCTTGCGAAGGACCTTCCCCTGGAGAGCGTTGTTGGCTGGCGTGGCGCCATGGTAACCTTCCCTGGAGGCTGTTCCGGCACCCACACCACCACTACCACTACCAGCGCCGCGGGGACCTGGGGACACTGATGTTGCTACTGGTGCTTGAACCTTAAACACTTCGGAGGCCACCTCAGACGAGCCGACAGAAGGCGCGACATCAGCTGCGGGGAGATCTCTGGTCTCTGAAGACAGGCTAGACCGTCTCGGGAGAGGTTTCGGTTTGACCTTTGGCCTGTCGGGCCTCATCGGTCTTCCTCCAGCGATTGGACCTGGTGGTGTTTCTTCTGTCACCGGGGTCAAGGTCACCACCTGAGTGGGGTCATCGACGGGGACAGGACCTGGGGCAGCCGGCAGCTGCTCTGGCCCGATGAGTGTCGAGTCAGTGATGGTTTCCATATCGCGAGAAAGACGCTTTTCCTGAAATGACAAAACACAAAAATATTATTAAGAAAGCATGTGCACCTAAAATACGACGCTATAAAACTAAAAACAAAACGAAAACAACAACAACAGCAAAAAAAACACCACACAAAAGAATGTACGAGTAAGTAGGCCTAAATCATAGATTTAAAATCTAGCGAAAAGAAATTGAGCTAGACCATACATCTATTTTTTTTTTGTTATGGTTGCAGCAGCCTTTTGCCCCTAGCATGAAACTACAAACACGGATGGCTTTATGGCTTCGTTTTTAACTAAACCAAATCTTGGTGCACAGTTTCCGTCAACAACAAAAAAAGCTAGACTGACAATATTGTAAGTACGGAGAAAAGATTACACAACACACTTTCCTTTGGCTTACGGAATAGAAATGTGTTCTCAAATGAAGGATATCTTGGCACAGCCTTCTAAAATGATAAGAGAACCAGGAAGTTACAGTGACGTAGCCCATACACTGCTACTTAAGGGACACCTTCATGTCAAAGAAAACACTTCATATTTCAAGTTGTTCTATTTTTTAAAAGATAGGGTTGGACATTAAGCATAAAAATAGGTAAATTCACAGACAAATGTATACTTTTTTATTGAAAAAAAAAGTTTTCTTAAAGGCAATAATAGGTCTCTGATTTAAAAAAAAAAACGTTTTCGGTGGTAGGCATTATAAAGAAGATATTTCAATTCTGGGCTAAACTTTAAAACACAGATAGCACAACCTCAAGCACTGTGACTGCATAGAAGGATTTTGCTCCCATCATGACAGTTTTTTTTGTTTTTTTAATATTCACATGGATTGTAATTCCGTACACTAAAGTGAAGGAAAGCAGTCACTAAAATTCACGCGCCTCCCTCCCCCCCCTCCCCTCACATTTCTGATAATACACAGATGATAATGCATGATGTTGTTAAAACTGGAGGTTATAACCCTAGAAAGTAATATCCTCAGTAGAGCTGATTTTTAAAAAACCTAACTGCTCATTAAAGGAACAGATCATAATTATAAAAATGTTTTGAACAAAAAAAAAACCCCCCAAAAAACCAGTATTCACAGCCATTTTCATTAACACTTTTAGATTCATCGAGTCCCCATAAAGCCATGAAAATAAAATAAAAGTAAAATATGATGACCTATTTTTTACAAGCACGCCTCTCCTTAAGTAAGTGTGAAAATAATTGTTGTGCAGCACTCCCTCTGGGCCTGAATGGTTCCTGTTTCTTGTGGTAATTATTGGGACCTTCAAACAATGGGTGAGGTTGCAACTATTGACAAGTTCGCACACTGACAGCCACATTCCTTCAGGTACAGATTAAAAATATATCACCACCTAAAAATAAATAGAAGAAGCCGTTCCCAGCACAGTAACAACCAACCCACACTGACAAATGTTATCATTGCTGTAAATTTGAACTGATGAAAGCAGAGTTACTGTTAATTATGAGGAGAAGAATGAACAAAGCTGCATAAAAGCTTTTGAAGAAAGTGAGACAAGATGCTTTCACAATAAACATGTGAGAATGTGTATCTTATCTGTATGTGTATGTGTGATTTTAAGGTAGGCGAGAAGTGATTTGTTCAAAATAGAGAAACTGTCTAGGTACAACAAAAAGAGGGAGGGGAAGGGGGGTGAGAATGGAGCTTAGGAGCAAGGTATGTGTATCGGAGGAAAAGGGGGGGGGGATAAATACTGCAAACTTACTTAAATTTGGTCAAGATAATCAGCATTATGTCAATCAACCAAAACAAAACTCGGGATAAACTTTTCTTCAAAACATAGGCCCTACTCCCTACCAAGAGTTATGTATTTCTTTCAAACCATTCAATATATCACTCCAAAGATATAAACAATGAAATATAATGACCTTCGCGTAAGTAAATCAAGTTTAAAAACAAAGGAAGAAAGGAAAGTAGAAATCTTAGCAGAAGCAGCCCGAAAAAGGAAATAGACTTGCAGACACTTCAAGCACAGAACTCAACTGTAAACCAGCTTATTGGAGAAGCATTCCACAGCCATCACTACGCGTTTACAGAAAAGATTACTTCAATTCTTATAATGCAGAGGAAGATATACCAGCTCCAAGAGAAGAATGAATGCATTTAGAAAAAAAATGAATGCAAGCACAGCAATAAGGCATGAAATGAACAAGTAAATGTTATAAAGGAATATTTGAACACATTAGATCAATAATATTTGAGGTTAAAAAAAAAAAAAAAACATCCATTCACAAAGTAAAGGTTCAAATCAAACTTTTCCGAACAAAGAAAGAAAACAAACCCATCTACTGTAAGCGAGACCAATTTTGAAAGTAGATATGTCTTTAGACCACCTTGAAAATCTACATACCATCCCCAACCATTAACTTCACTATACAGTCATTCCACGCTGTTGGTGGTAAATATTTTTTTTAAATCCCCATTTTTCCACTACCATTCTTTTCACATCCCTTCATTTTTTTATCGCAACATCACAAATAGAAGCTACACTCATTGAGTACTAGCATTTTTCCCCTCCATTTTCATCAATAGTTCGGAATACGTATAAATTTCTACTATTTCTATCACATTATCATCAACATCACATTTCACTCACTCGCGCTTTATCAGGAACATTACCCTTGTTGTTCTTATCATTCTAAGCGATACTAATATGGTGAAGACTATTGTTAATGCACTGTGGACAAGAAGCAGAGAGACTGATAAAGAGGGGGAGGGGTTGGGTCAATGGATCATTCAGTCAGTGGGGATGCAAGAAACGTTTACCTCATTTTGACCATCATCATGAGTATCATAGTATCATCATTATCATTGCTATATCATCATCTTTATCATTACAATCATCAATGTTACTCTGGTTATTATCATCATTATCATTATTATTATTATCATTATATTATTATTGTTCTTGTTATTATTATCATCATTATTATTTAAATTAGTAGGCTATTAGTCCTATTAATAGTACAGTGGTGTTGGTAGTCTAATGGTAACAGACTTGTAATCATGAGGTTGCGGATTCGATAGTCAAGGCCCAGCTTGGTCTGACATTTGTGTCCTCGATAAAGGCATTTTTCAATTCTTTAATTATTTTTTTCATGTGACTCGATCCTATCAGACATGGACTTTGAATTCCTACTTCAGGCCCTTTAATAACCTTACAGTGTTGTAAAACGTATTACTATTATTATGTCTATTTTTATTAGTATTATTATCAGTAGTATTAGGCTATTGTTATAATTGTTATCGCTATTATTAATATTAATATTATTATTACTACTATTATCATTATTATTACTACTATTGTCATTATAAGAGTTATTATTATTTTTAAAATTATAATCATTATCACCATCATGACCATTTTTACTATTTTAAATTTTAGTTATAACAATACAGTCAAGGCTTCTGCAAATTGCCTGAGGGCAGGATGCAGACGAGCGAATAAGGAGGGGAAAAAGTCAAGAGGTGAGTTTAAGGGATGCAGGAAACATTTACCTCATCTTGCTCTTCTTCATCAAAATGAAATCTCAGCTGTCGGAAACAGGTAAAATATCTTGTTAAAGTAAAGCGATACTATCCTTCATCCCTTCTTACCAGACTTTATAATCGTATTCTATCATAATCTTCTCTTCAAGCTCTCGGACTTGAAACGGTAAGATCGTGGGTTTGAATCCAGTCAGGAAACTGACATCCAGACATTGTGTTCTTGACAAAGGCACTCTACTGAAATTTTCCTCACCTCACTCAGGTGGGAATGGGTACCCAGCGATAGACAGCAAAAGACCTTGTCAGTTTGTCATTGTTTGAGCACTTGCAATCCCCAGCCTTCACTGTAAGCTTCCAGGGAAGCTAAGAATACTGTATGCTTCCAGGGAAGCTAAGAATAATGTATGCTTCCAGGGAAGTCATGAATACTGTATGCTTCCAGGGAAGTCATGAATACTGTATGCTTCCAGGGAAGTCATGAATACTGTATGCTTCCAGGGAAGCAAAGAATACTGTATGCTTTCAGGGAAGTCATGAATACTGTATGCTTCCAGGGAAGTCATGAATACTGTATGCTTCCAGGGAAGTCATGAATATTGTATGCTTCCAGGAAAGTCATGAATACTGTATGCTTCCAGGGAAGCCATGAATACTGTATGCTTCCAGGGAAGCCATGAATACTGTATGCTTCCAGTTAAGCCAAGAATGTTTCTGAGTGTTCTAGGGTCTGCTGGAGTAATAATAGTTGCAAAGGACATAAAGCGTGCTGTAGAGCCTAGATATGAGCCATATCAAAGTAGTACTATTATTCTTGTGCTGACTTATTTTGTGGGTGGTTGGCGGGTGCACTGGTGTGGTTTGCTTCTTCTTTCCTATGAAACATCTATCATCCTTATCTCCCCTACTTCTTTTTAATGTCTGTTACTCTCTTGTAACACCTCTAATCTTCTGGCGCTCATATGACCTTATGCAGTTGCGAGCATCGTTAAACCTCTACTAAAACTAACTGACTTGTTTTGTCAAATATACAATTACAGTTCCCTTGCACCTCAGCTATCCCCATTTGACCAAGCCATCTATTGCATACCTTGAGAACAAGATAAATCAGCCTCACAAAGCTTTGCTACTGAATACATTTTGCCAATCATTTTATCCTGAGAAAGGACAGGAGTCATAACCAAGAATTGTGTTTTCAAACATGTAAATAGCATTTCCACGATTTTTTTCTGGCATATTTGATCTGAATTTTTACCCACTGTTTTTCAAGACATAAATGGATTTGCTTCCAAAGTAGAACATAAGTGAGACTACTTTGTTACTTTAAATCAAACGCTCCAGCAAAGTTTACAAAATGACAAGAACTAGCGAGGTCTAAGATACTTTTCATAAAACACTATCATCAAGAAATAAGAACCTGCATACTATAAATAGAAGAGGTACTTCTCAAAGAAAATTTTGAATAAAAATGGATTGGGAGACAGAAAGAAAACTTTCAAGAAAGAAAAGAAAAAGAAAGATCCTCCCTTTATTCATCCGTTGTCAATCATGTTTGGTCTAATTTAGTTTTAGTAAGAGTTCTATGGCACTTGTAACACAAAAGAGTCAAACGAGCTCTGAAGATTAGAGGTGTTACTAGAGAGTAACATACAAAGAAAAGAAAGAGGAGAGATAAGGACAACAAATGTTTGATTGGAAAGAAGAAGCAAACCATACTAGAGTACCCACGAACTAACCACACAATGTTTAATCAAAAACATCTATGTGCAAACAATAATCTCAAACTGATAACTTTTGAAAAGATGAAAAGAAGTGCAATATGACTGACCTGATTTAAGATGATGAGAGTAAAGACAACACAAAAAAAAAAGTATACACACACAGAAAGCTCAATCTAATCGTATCAGTAGAAGCTTGAAAAATGGTATAATAAAACTGAAAATTAGTGGGTAATTGAGAGGCAAATAATTTTATGCAGCAGGAGAATAGTTATCGATTAGTAGGCAATCAAATTGTTTCAAAAGGCAGATAGCATTTGTTGCTATGCATATAAATATAACTAATAAGGAGGAAACAAACAAAAAGGAATCTTGGGAAACCTTCCGCATCCTACAGTTCTACAACTCCCCCCCATTCCTTACCATGGGTTGAATCTTGCGTTGAATATTCTGGAGAGCTGTCCCTGGGGATGGCGGAGGGCAGTCAGGGGTGGGGGGCTGGCGATGGTGCGTGGGGGATACTGGCAATTGCTGTTGCTGTTGCTGTTGATGCTGCTGCACTTGTGCGTCGATGACAGAAGAATCAAAGTCTAAAGAGTTGGGCGGCTTTGTGATTGCTGGTTCCACAGGAAGATCTAAAATGTGGGGTAAAATAAAAAGAAGCTCCTTAGTATTGACTGATTTACTGAGTGTAACATAATAAAAGAAGACTTCTAAAATTTATTGACAATGATTGTTTTACACCCCCACTGGCATAATTTACATTATAATAATATATGAAGCAGGCCTTTTAATAATTAATCAGTGACACATACAGATCTATATTCATCCTTTACCGATTATCAAAAGGATTTTGATAAAGTTAGACAATATGAACTATTCTAAATTTTGGAAGAAGTAGATAGATCAGCATCAAAGAGAGCTGGACAGAAAATACAGAAAGGATGGCAGAAAGATGCCACTCCTACACCACCCAGTCTGTCTGTTCCCTAATAGGACTTATCTTTAAACAAAGACAATGTTCCTTAATTAAAATGAATATTACATTTCTTACTATAAAGTCTCATTTTGAAGCCTTTTCTTTCAATAATTATGAGGGTAGGGTTGGCAGTCTAGTGGTTAGGCTACAGAACCTGTAATCATGAGACTGCGTGTTTGGGGGTTCAAGCCTCAGCTACGTCCGACATTGTTTTCTTGGGAAAGGCATTTTACATGAATATCCTTTCTGGTTCTGTCTTTTTGGAGATGAATGTTAAATTCCAAGGTCCCACCTCTTAAATGACATTATGGTGTGGATAGGGGCGTTAAACCTACAGCATTGTTTACCAATGATTATGATTTTGGATGATTGCTTTGCTCATCTTCCTTCAGTCCAATCATAGGAAATAAAACGCTTCATTAAATTCCCTTGTCAATCCATGTCATTCATTATAGAATTAGAAAGGTAATTTCTTAAGGTACTTACTATAATCTCCAATCCCTCCTCCGTCCTCACCTTTTAAACTTTCCCGATCACAGACATATTTCTCAGGGGCCTTAACCTCCTCCGTATTTATGGATCCCTGATCTGCTAAATCGCTTCCCCTTACGACATCTACAGCTGGCTGAGGGGGTGTGTCCCTAAGTTCACAGCTCAGCCTGGGGCCTTGAGCCGGCTCAGCAACATTAACAACAGATAGAACAACTGGCTCTGTGACTGGGGAAAAAAAATAAATACATTTACCGTAATAACTTGGGCAATTGTGAGTAAACTAGATTATATAACAGCTATAGTATTTTAGGAAAGATCCCTCTTGTACCATATCAATATGACCTATCTTGTGTTTATATATAGTGAGTTCACCCTTGTCAAGGGCTCACGCTCACTTTCACTCACAAAGCGCAAGTACATGTACATCCATCTGAGGAGCAGTCAACTACATCACACCTGTGCTGTCTCAAAATAAAAGCAGTCACAATGTTACATTTAACTTTTGGGTTTTTTCCAGCTGAATGTTGCCAATTACAAACTCATCTCAGAAGCCAAAGAAAACTCCACACATAAAGAAAATGAGGATAAATAAAGCAGGATTTGACTGATTGTTCATGTTATACACTCTTCAACAACACAATTTAGATAGATTCCAAGCAGGCTGTTTTGACCCTACTTGTCACTGCCTACCTGAGACAAGTGGGATTCCGCATCCTCCATACAGACAGAGATATTCCATGGAACAAACTTCCCTACGTGAGAACCGAATTCATGTCTTCTTTAGTTTTTTAGTTTTAGTAAGAGTTTTACAGCACTTCCAATACAAATGGTTCATATCAATGCTGAAGATATAAGGTGTTATGAAAGAGTAAACAACATGGCAAAGAAAGAAGAGAGATAGGGACGATAGATATTTGATAGAAATGAAGGAGCAAACCATACCAAATAACCCACCAGCCACCTGCTCATATCTTCTGCATGTAAGGAACAAAAGTTTAACCACTGTACCCCAGACAATGTCAATATAGAACCCTACGGGCATAAAGAGAATAGAACTGTCCCAAAAAAATGAAAGAAAGAAAAAAAAGGAAGAGAAAGTAGGAGAGAGTGAAAGAAAATTATTACGAGAAAGGAGAGAAGAATGAGGCAATATGGTTGAGAAGGACAAAGGAAAGGAGCAGGAGAACAATGGGAACGAAAAAAAATAGGAAACGAAAAAATGGAAAGAGAGAAAAAATGTGATACTCATACCCAGATGACAAATATTACACAAGTAAAATACACCACAAGAAAAAAATTGTAAGTACAACAGATTCCATACGGGAAAAAGAAAGAAAACAGGAACTTCCAATTTTTTAACACTGTCCAACAACAAAAGTAGGGAACACAATCTGTATCTTAACAATATTCTGTGATGACTAAAAATGTGTACGTTACCTTGACCCTGAAGTTGACCCTGAACTTGACTCTGAGCAAGAGCCTCTGCAGCAATCTTTGCCTCCAAGGCCGCCCGCTCTTCCTCGGGGTTAAGGTTCACGTAAAACTTGCTTCCACCGGGCATGACTGACCCACCACTGGGAGCGCTGCTGTTGATGCCACTGCTGGCTGTTGCTGGTGCTGCGGTATCGCAGGACGTGGGTGCTGCTCCTGTTGTTGCTGCTGCAGGAGTGATGTACGGACCCTGCTGGTCCTGGCGCCGGAAGCTCAGAGGTTTCTTTCTCGGTGGCTTCTTCGGCTGGTCCTGTAACACAATACAAAAAATCCCCCAAAATTCTTGAAAATAAAAATAATCAAAATACAGTAAAACCTGTCTAAGATTGTCACCCATTGTCAATGAGAAAAGCGGCCATCTTAGAGGCCATTAGAGCCTGTCCGACCGTGCATTTTGATACACAAATAATACAAAAAATAGGAAAAATGAAAATATTTTTGATAACTAAATTTTTTAAAAACTTTTTTTATATATAAATTAAATTATGAGAAAACAAGAAATAATATTTCTTAAAATCAAAATTAAATTAATATGCAAAACAGAAATAATAAAATACTACTCAAAATGAAATAAAAAATAAAAATACAAACACAAATAAAAATAACTAAACAAATTCTTTTAAAAACATGTTTAGAAAGTGCGTGTACAGTAGTCTCCGCCTAAGATCCCGGTGCTCGAGAGTAAGGAAATGCGGGATCTTAGGCTGACCGGGATCTTAACCGACGAACCAGGGGAAGAAACTATGGTGACCCATGTTAAGGCTCACAAATGGTAAAATGGTCTCCCTCCACTCTAAAATGAACTGACGTGACCCCTTGGTTAACCTTGATGACTTATCACAGTGCAAAGTGATATGAGGTGTGCCATTTTCACTTATTATCCTATCATGAGATTCAAGATCTACGCTTAACCAGTTGCCCCTCCCCTTTACCTGTCAAAAATGTATAGCTGTCCATCTCTGATCAAGTCCCACACCCCGCCCACCAGTGTCGATACACACCATTATGTTGTGAACACACCAATCAAAATTCAGTCTCTCTCACAAATTCGGGAGTAGAGACAACTACTGCAATGGCCAGGGAAGAGTTCACGGTTCGATGTGATCCCGCCAGGAGCGAACATGTTGGCCCTACCCACCCAGCGAAAGATGTAAGTTTAGGGGGAGAGCTCAGGTGTGAGTGTGATGTGTGGGGAAAACAAATATGCTGGTCAGTTCACCTCGGTGTGTTCCCAACTGAGTGAGGCAAACATTGTATAACTTCATCGAGTGATCACATTCACGAACAATAGTGGCTGATCTTTGACGCCACGGACAGTTTATTGATCTCAATTTTTCACTCTTGGTTGATCGGCTGTGCCCGCCCGAGATTTTGGTCTGCAAATTATGATCTGAAATGCGGGATCTTAGCCGAATATAGACCTTCAGAGTGAATCAGAGAGGGATCTTAGTGGTGACTTTCGTATAGTAAAAATTATGTTTTCTTAAAACAGCGGGATCTTAACTTAAGCAAACCAGGATCGTAAGCAGTGGGATCTTAGGCAGAGACTACTGTATTACCATATATCTAGAGACTTGGAGTGGATTAAGTAAATTCTACAAACAGACACATAAGGCATATCACATCAACTTTCAGGCAACGTACGGAAGGGCTGCGGGTGGATGGGCTGGCGTCCCTTGGGCTAGTACTCAGTTTACCCCTGTCCTCATCACTGGACGGCTCGCTACTCCTGTCTGCTGGTACCTTCAGTGGAGTGATACCTGAGGACATACGAGGTGACAAACTTCATGGTAGGTTCATTCCACTGCACAGCCCTATATGAAATCAGAGCTACACTTTTCTTACTGAGACTTAACATTGACAGTACACTATGGAATATTGCAGGAAGTGCAGCAAACCTGCACTTCTCACTGACAAAAGAACAAGAGCCCAGCTGGATAAATAACTAACAGCAACTGTTTCTAGTACAGATAACCTAATCAACAAGACAATCTGTATCTAGTCCAGGGATTATAGTATGATCTCAATGACCCTGCCAACACAAAAAAGGAAGTACAAAGGCAAAAATCTCTGACCTAAAGTTCCACATACAGTACAAAGCAGAAAGTAGAATCCTCAAATAGTTCAAGTTCTAGAATGGCCCATTCGGGACCTGAACCAAAATGATTCTAACCACAGTCCAGCAAGATACCCACTGTAACATCCAACTGTGAAACATTAAGTCTTTAAAGTCTTGACTACACAAACTCATCACAGAACTACATGGCACTCTCCAACAACAAATCTACACCACAAACCCACTCAGTATCACAATCATACTAAACTTCCAACCACCACCCCCCTCAAAAAAACCAAAAACAAGATAGAAACAATCCAGTGGAAGAAACAAAATCTTCCAGTGATGTCTTACCAAATCACCTCCCCCATGTTCAAAGTTATCCATTTCAAAAGCAATTTATTAAGATCTGAGTGAGTTTTAGTTTTGGTAGAGGCTTTACAGCACTCATAACTGTATAAGATCATATGAACACCAAGGGGTGGATGTCAACAGAGATGCCCTTACAGGGAATCGGGCATACTCTGCTCACTTCTCTAGCTTCAAAGGCACAAAATCTGCTTAGACTATCAAGGCACCCCGGAAATAGCGGGTCACAAGAGTGTGACAAACATACAAAAGAAGTAGAGGAAAAATGACGATAGTAAGGATTAGGAAAGAAAAAGCAGCAGTTCCCTTGTGCAGTTCAGGCACAGTTATGAGCATGACATTGATGAATCAGCTCATCTGTACATAAGAACATATTAATGTACCCCCTTTGGGAATGGCCTAAAGACACTGCCCGGGGGGTGGATCTGAGTGAAACCTTTTGCAGTTCTAGTAATGATGAAAGGGAAAAAAAAAACTATGTGAAAAGAGTAGCAGCAGCTCACCGTTATAACTTCCCAGGCTGTCTGTATCTCTCACAGAGTGCCGGGGAGGGATGGGCGGCGGACCAAAATCTTCATCGGTGGTTGGAAGACTGGAAAAAAAATCAGTTACAATGTCTGTCAAGGTCAATGGCCTCTGGATGCTAAAAAGTGTCATTATAACCAAAGCCACACATCCAATAGAGGGAGTGTGAAGTATAGAAAATAAGAGAAAAACATTCAGAAATCTGAAGAAACAGATAGAAGGACAATACATAAGGAATAAATATCTATGCAATCCCAACGTCAATTATATTTAGATGTATACAGTTAAATTGAGCCTGTCGAAGACAATCACTTAATGTTGGGGAGAAAACTGGTTATCTGAGGCTGATGGTTGTCTCAGATAATATCATTATAATACAGAAAAATACCAAAGGGTGAGTGGGAAGAGGCCGTTTGTACAAGCTGTTGTCTAAGACAGGTGGTCACTACAGCAGATTCAACAGGGGGGGGGGGGGGGGGGTTATATTCGCTTTTGACAACATGGCAACTTCACAAATGGCTAGGATGCTTCAAAGCTGACTAAGAAAAGCAATTAATTTGAGAAAAAAAATTAATCAAAACAAGAACAAACAAAAAATTATCAAGGTCACATTTTTAAGCTTTTGAGCAAATATAATTTCATAGCCCCCCAAAAACACATTGCATTTTAACCAGACTTATTCTGTAACATCTTTTTATAAAAGGGTCCTGACTTAGGAATGGGCCAAGTTATTTCAAGATTAAGCTATTTATAAGGAACTGAAACTACAGTCAGTAATTCAACAAATCTTAATTTTATGACTTTGCGGTCTTCAGCTGCTTACAGGTCAGTTAGTCACTACAATCAAACTCGCTCCAGTGGTCACCTGTCTAAAATTACGCCTGGTACACACCACCACTTCCCATTTCCCAAATTGCATTTTTGTATGTAATGACACTGTCCAAGATGACCCCCTCTCCAAAGCAACAGCAATCATTACATTTTATTGAACAGCCCAAACACCTGTCCAACATGACAACATGAATCTTCCATCACTCAAATGTGTTGATATCAATCATCTGCCCCATTACTTTTCCAAAAAAGGAAAAAAAAATTAACAGGCCTAACAGCAGTCCTCTGCCTGCGCTGTAACCACCTCAGAAGGTTTTTTTATAAAACATCTTCATCTGACCTGCTCAAGAAGACCACCTGTCTATGATGAGCAATTTTCTCCTCAACAATAGACAGGTTCAACTGCTGGTTCTGAGAGCAAGTCAAACAACCCCAAATAAACACTTTCAGCCAATTCCAAATGACTGAAGCAAATTATAAAACATGTCTTCAATAAGGTCTCAAAAACAACACCAAAAAAAAAGAAAACTCATGACTTCTCCCACAACCAGCCACTAGCGAACAATTTATCCGGCCACAAACAGTCTATTGAGAGTTTGGCATTAATTACACCAATAAAACGAAATTCTATAACAAATGTTTCCTTTACAGATTTTAATATTCTAAATCAGACTCTAGGCTTCAGCAGAAGCTTTGTTTGATTGTTCATTTATTTGAGTTGGAGAGAAGCACATCCCTAACAGAATGATTATAAAGTACTACTAGGAACAAGCCAGACAAACTGATCAAAACCACAGAGAGATAGCATTTAAGTAAGACCAGCCAAAGACACCCACTAACCACACCACCTGCTTCTGCTACAGGCATAACACCTGTAACCAGAGAGACAGTAAAAGCATGCCCATGTTTTCCCATGCAGTACTTTTGACTTGGTGAAACACTCCTTCATTTCAGTCATTTAAAAATTCATAACTCTTGTTTGCATTCCGCATTGCTGGGTGTCATCTTGATAGAAAAACAATTCCAATGTCCCACAACAGTACACTAAGCACCAAAAATTTACCAAAAATAAACAAAAAGAAAAAAACCCGTCACTTTTTAAAAAGAGTTTAAAAAATTATTGCACTGCGTGAATTTGAGATAAGAGGCATTCAAAGATAAAATGTTTGCTGGTGAATATTTGAAACAAGCCAATCATGCTGATGCAATCATTCGAACTGTTTCCTGGGACATGCAGCATGGGAGATGGAGTGAGATCGAAAGGGAAAGAGGAAGAGAAAGAAAGAGATACAGAGAGAGATAAGCAGGGCAAAAGAAAGAGGGAGAGTGAATTAAAGAGAAAGAGAAAAAAAGTGACAGAGAGAGAGAGAGAGAGAGAGAGAGAGAGAGAGAGAGAGAGAGAGAAGAAAGAGAGAGAAAGAGAGAGAGAGAGAGGAAGGGAGAGGGGGAACAGAAAAATATACAGAAAAAGAAAAAAGAGCGAGAGAGAGAGAGGGAAAAAGAGAGAAATAAAGACTAAGACAGAAAGAAATTAAAAACAAGCCAAAAGCATTCATCTTTCTTACACCCAAGTGAGGATTTTTGTCCGTCTGAAAGGGAAAAAAAACGGCATTGCTTAAAGCTGTTATCAGTAATTTGACCCAAGAACATCCCCACAATACACTGATGGGTGTAACTCAAGTACTCCTTCCTGTACTCACTCACCAAAACTCAAGATATCAAGACTCTTCTATAGCCCCAATCATGAACAAAAGTTTTGCAAAGAAAGTTGATCGATTCACAGTGATAATAAACACTCTTTTTGACTGACAGCCTTTTGACGCTAATGAGGTTGAATCCCGTAACAAAGTGTTTTTCATATTACTTCAAATCTAATTCATATTCGCTGGGTTATGCCCTACCCACATAACTGGAGGAAATGAGTCGAGTCTTTTTCAGTTCTTTAACCAACGCCAAGATCAATCTGTGGGTCCTCAAAAAAGTGATGAATGGTTCTATAAGACCTACCAACCTTGCCAGACAAAAAAACACAAGTAACCTCAATGTGCCTCAGTGACCCATGTACTATACATGTATGTATATAACAAAGATGAATAGAAATAAAGAACACACACACAAACATGCAGGAAGTCATCAAACATTCAATCATGAAAGGAGTTAGTTTAAATCAATCCAAGACTCCAAAACATACTAATCCTAGCCACACACCTTTTATGGAGATGGGCTTTCCTTTCGGCAGAGGGAGGGATGGAAGGTTTTTGAAGCTGAGTATCTGTCGTTATCACTGGTATTTCTGTCGCTGCCGCTGTCGTTGTGTTTGCTGCTGTCCCTTCCGACAGTGGTGTGCCGGTAATGGTGACGGGACGAGGTGGCAGCTCCTGATGCAGTCGGGAGGTGCTGCTGTCTTCTCCCACAATTCCTCTCTCCCCGTCAGAGTCCGGTGTGCGTTGATGATATATGTGCGCTGATGATCGGTTGTTTTTTTTGTTTGAGTAAAGAAAAGCACGTCAGTAAAAAAAGTCAATATAGTGTTGGGGAAAAAAGAAAGACAGACAGACAGAAATAAGAGAGGGAAAGTAAAAAATGAGGTCTTGTGAAGATTAAATTTACAGCAAATCATGCCAGAAAGAGTCAGGCTCACTGACTAACAAAAAAAGTACTACAAAAACAAAGTAGTTTACTATGGAATTTGATGTAGCCTAAAGAGAAAAAGCTGAGCAGCTGTTCAACAAACTACAATATCATATCACAACAACTATAACAAAATCAACATCAGTAACAGCAACTACTATAACAACAATAATAAGAGAGTTCACTTGACATTTTCACATGACCAGATTTTAAGGACATTATACCTAGCAGCTGCAGTTTATTTGTAAGAGCATTCTTAGAAGAACTCTAGCATAACCCAACTGCTTTGAAGGTGCAACATAATATGTCAAACAACTCCACGTAGTAAAAAGTAACCCGTCTCCATATCCTCTACCCAGGCTTTATAAAAAAGGATCAGAGCCTATATTCTCATCAGACCCCCCCCCCCCCCCCCCTCCACGGCCTTATTTCTCAAACTTAAAGAACAGACTCAAGCCTTAATCCCCTTGTTGCTTTCAATGAGTAGGTTTAACATTCTATAAACTCTCTGATTGTTCCTTTAGGGACTATAGTATTCTTTTTCTTTGCTGTGTGATGCTCGGAAATACAGTGAACATTTTGGCACACTTACTTTTGAGAATGTTCAGCGCTTCTTCTGCGGCCTTGGAGGGTATTGACCTGAGTATATCCTCTGCTGTACAGCCCGTCTGAGACTTCACTGTGATGTCAATACCTAGCAAGAAAAAAGTTGAGGTACAGCTTTACTTACAGATATCAAGCCATGACATACATAGATTGGTAGCACTTTGGACTGCACAGCAGATGGCTCTGGTTCAAATCATAGACTGGGTGTTTCTAAACTCGAATCAGTTGGTGGATTTGTCAATGTTTTAAACCCATTTGGTACATTCCTATTGGAGACCGACATTAAATTCGGAGAGCCCGTCTTTTAAATAACCTATTAGTGTTGACTTGTGCAGTAAATTTAAACTTACTTATTTTACATATAGCTTAGCAAGGGACTCTACCTAAGTACAGAACTATAAAGTATATCATTAGTTTAACCATTTATCCACCAAATTAGGGCAATCACATTTTTTCTCTCAAATTAGGTTATTCAAAACTGAGATTACAATTGGAGATAATATAATATAGCGAAAGAACGCTACACAAAATTTTTCAAGTTTTGGAAGATACTAAGACAACAGATATATTAATTTCATCAAAAAAGTGTCTGACCTAAATCGGCGGATGCGCATTTAGAGCTGGTCACTGATGATATATATATTGTTGACAAGATAAAAAATACATTGATTTGCACGAGGCCCCTATTCTCATTCTGCAGGCGATGAACATGATCTGAAGGGATGAAGTTTGAGGCTTAAATCTGAAAGGGGATCTCCTTCTTTTTCACAATATTTTGAAACTGTTCCCTCTTAGCCTGGCCTCATGTCCTGAAGGGAGACCACACGTTTGGCTATTAAAATGACCCTCACTTCGACTTAGAGCACAGCAACACCATGAAATGTCCCAGAAAAGAAACCAATACTTCAAGACATAACCCGCACCCTTTCACCTAAACACACACAAAAAACCCCAGTGAAGAGGAGTAAATGCAGAACCTAGGGGACAGTCACCTTACAACAAAACCAGCAATAATATAATCTTTAGCCTATAGATATAACACACACAACACCCAACACAAAGAGAAGCTCAACTGTTTTTTATGTTTTCACAGAGCACAAACAATATAAAAAGCACTACATCTAAGGAGTGCACACACAAACTAAACTCTTTACTTCTCTATCCCCCCCCCCCGGTTTTATGTAAGATATTTCTATAACCAGTACATTCTTCCTTATAAGAGGCCAGTGATC